CTTTGAAACACTGGCGGGGGATCTTATCACAAATTTTAGAGAAAATTTACATGAGGACACACAAAAATGTGCTCATGTGGGAGATATGCTAAACTAGTTAGAGAATAAGTTGCATATACACTGCACCAATTAATATTTATAGAAGAATTCCAAATGAATGTTTTCACGTTTTATATGGTCTGAAATCTGCACTCATACAATTCATGCCTACACTTGAGTAACCCCCAGGAAAGGAACCCAACATTCTCATGAATGAATGAACATAACACTTTATTTGCTGCTTTTCAGCGTTCACAAAGTTCAATCAAGATTTTCACAACTAAACCCCCTTATTCCCACCCAACCCAAATCCACTCAATGTCATTTAATCACTTCAGAGCAGGAAACACAGCACAAATTGATAACAAAAATAAAAGAAAATACAATCCATGAAATATAACTGGACATCTGACATGTATGCATACATGAATGAATGAATGAACAGAACACTTTATTTGCCACTTTTCAGCATTCACAAGGCACAACCAAGACTCCCTCATCCAAATGTATGCATTGGAAAACAATGCATACATGTCATTCTGAAAATGAAATTGTTGATTAAAAAAGACTGTCAAACTAAATTCCAATATGCGTTTCTCTGTGACGTGGTTCTATAGAAACACTTCCACATTGTAATTGACATTTTTATGTGACCAATATTATAAGGGATGATGTAACTTAGAGTATACTGTACTCTTATGCATCCACGTGTCCAGGACAATGTCATCTTTCCCGCACCATCCTTAATGAACCCAAAGGGCGACCTACTGTACCTGATTGTAACGTCGTGTTGTGTCCTTTTGTTACGTGGAACAGTCGAGTAGATAAAGAGGTTCAACAAGGTCTAAAGGTTCTTAAATGTAACTTTGACGTGCGCGTTTTTTTTAATCTGTATTTCTATGCTGTGATTACGTCACTTGAACTGCTGGGGAACCAGATCTGGAAGGAAATGTTGAACCTGGATAACTGGAACCTCCCTCAGTCAAGTTTATTTCAAGTCCCCTGTCTGAATTCCCTGTCTGAAACAATAATGCACTGAAAATCTCCCAGATGCTTTTTCTTTAAAATCATCTTAATTGACTAGAATTTCCTCAGGACTTCTGGCTATTATTTTCTTGACACTGAAAAAATAAAAGCAATAAAAAATTAACTTGATGTGTTCTGAAAAAAGGGAAAGACTGATTGTGGGCAAATGAACCATTGCTTCCAAGCTCAGCATCCAGTCAACTCAATTGAGAAGCAATTTAAGGCCCAGAATATGGCCTTTTACAATTCAAGAGTAAACTAAGATCTGGTAAAGAATCTGACACTATTTTCCAACAATATTATGTATGACTTAAAAAAAAAACAGGTGCCAGGAATAAGAGATAAGAATCTCAAATCATTCTTGAATTAGCCCATCATATTCATGCAGGTAGTGCAATAGATAAAATCTGTGACATCAGTACAAAACACTTCTTAAAAGCATACAAGAACTGCTAAATGAAATTAAATGTTGCTTGGTCGATTTCCAAGCTTTATTTTCCATTATAGTCAGCATTCACAAAGTTCAAAGAACTTTTCTTGCATCCATATTCAACACATCCTCTGGCAAATCATAATTAGAAAAAAATGCACTGACAGGTTATATTAAAAGAAGATACATCACAGGACATAAAAAGGCATGCATAATGTTTTGTCATCATTTTTCAATGACAAAAATCACAGTAAAAGGCAATTGATGATGAGCTCAAATTGAAGCACAAAGGGTTCAGCCTGTTCCCATCAGATGATTGGAAATTGATTTATCAATTGAAAGAGAAAATTCGAGGATGTCATATGAAGCTAACCGTTTCTTGCATTAAGCATAATTTTAAAAAAGTTTTTCCTCCAAGTTAACTGACCAGCAAGCAATACTAACTGGAGTACTGTAGTTCATTCAAATATAAGTCATGGTACATTCACATTTTTTTTAAATAAATTCATTATTCCAGTCTTTGGGGCCTGGGAAGAAGCTCAGGGTTAAAAATAGGTGGTCAAAAGAAATTGAGAGAAAATTGTGGCTATTCAAATATAAGTCATGGTACATTCACATTTTTTTTAAATAAATTCATTATTCCAGTCTTTGGGGCCTGGGAAGAAGCTCAGGGTTAAAAATAGGTGTTCAAAAGAAATTAAGAGAAAATTGTGGCTAATGAAGAGGGGAGTAAAAAAAAAAAACTCTAGCCCCTGCAGTTTGTTGTAAAAGGATTTTACTGCAAAGAAAAATTATCTGGCCTGATGAGTTTGACTCCTTATACACTTGTATTTATATATTTTTGTATTTGTCTGGCACTGGTATACTAACTTGGCCCTCACGCTCAAATGCGTGGCTTTCAATCCTTTCATGCAGTGGGGTAGCAAATAGTTGAGTGTTGGTTCTCGGTTTCAATTTTTTGCATACCCTCTTCAGAAGTTCTTAATTATCCAAAAAATATACGCATTAAAAATTGTTTTACAACTGGCTTTTACAAATTTTTTACAAACTCTTTTTCTAACAGCCCCAAAATGTCGTAATCTATCTATTTTTGGCAAGATATGTGGTTGTTTGTGCTAACAAGTCCAAAACCTGGAAAAAACTTTTTCAGATATAAAATTAGAATATTTTTAAAAACTCATATTGAATTACGAGATGCATTCAAAACCTGCGAAATGTTGACTGCAAATTTTTTTCCCTTGAATCCAATTGTTTTTTCTCTGTTTTTCTTATTATTTAAATTTTGAAGCAAATTTGCGATTTTCTGATGCATATGCTGATTTCTTCCCTCAAAAATTTAAAAAAATAAATGACTTTAATTCACTGAAATGAGTGAAATCAAAGAAATGAACTATTAAAATTGAATGTACAGTATTACTGTGAATTTCTTCCAAACATACTATTTAAAAACAATATTTAAAAAATGTGTGAATACGTTTTCCAGGCAGATAGGAGAGGAGTTCGAAATCATGTGCAATTTGAAAATATTGACAAGCTTTGAACTTTGCTTCCTGTTTATCATTATTTCATGGAAATTACTTGAAACTTTTCAGAGTGAATATCTTCCAAAAGTTAGAGGCTTTAATTTCTTCCAAGATCTCAAAAAATTAGAAACATTTGAAGATTTGTCAAATGGCTTTTATTTAAAGTGTGATGAGGCAGATGAACTCCTGCCAGAGAATTTTCCAACTTTTTTCCAAAATAATTGTTTGTGTTTCACTTGAAAAAAGCACTGCCGGGGAAAAACTAAAGTTAGCTGGCTTGGTCTTTGTTACGCGAAAATTCTTTTCACTAAGTTACGGTCAAAGTGAAAACCTAGGCAAAAGTTGCTCCCGCAGAAACTGTTTTTTCAAATAACAAGGGAATTCTGACGGAAACCCCAAGAAAAGGAAAAAAGACCGTATTGTTCCATTTTTCAATGGATATTGCCTCAAAAAATTCCTCTTTCCATTGTTTCCCGTCGGATTTCTCCAAACGTATTGTGCAGGGATTGTTTGTTTGTATCGTTTTCCAATCCACTTTTTTCCCCCAACGGAAAATTTTTTAAACATCCACTAAAGTCAGTTGAGAGTCGTATAAAAGACGCTGTCGACAATGTCGAGAACGTCAGTGTCGAACTCAAGCTTTCAACGAGTTCTTCTCTTCTTCTTTTTTTTTTACTCTGTGCAAGTGATATGCCAACATTGATTTACTCGGGTGACAAAGGAAAGAAATTGAAAAATCATCGTGAGGTTTAAAAATATAATTCATACAGTCGGGGAAAATTCGGGTTCTTGCAATTTCAGACAGATTATTTGAGTACTGAAAATTTGGCAGCGAGAGAAGAAATCTGCGTTCACACAGACCGTCGAAAATGAAGGTGAAGTATTTGTTACATTCATTATAGTGCAGCAAAAAAAATGTTTCATCATGGGGAATGAAAAAAATCATATTTATGATATGTGATACTTTTTCATAAATAACTCGGAGCATAATGTGATAATGATGGTTCAACATTAAATTCAATACTTTTTTCATAATCTAAAAAATATGGACTGGTACTCTTCAAAAACTCAAGTTTCTAAGTAATATTCCGCAAAGAACAACAGAAAATTAATGATATTTTATTTGTTTTTAATTTTAATTCAATTTTTAATTTTTTTACATGTTATTGCAATGATATAATTTTACACTTCAATTTAAAATACTGGACATCATCGAATCCGAACTGAAAATTAAAATAATCGAGAAAAAACAAAGTAGGATAGATTTGTTTCTCGAAAGTTCGTCCTAAATATGAATCAGAAAGTATTTATCAAAATGTCCAAAATTTTATTTCTTGTTCCATTATATTTTCTTCCTTTTGTAAAATTAATGAGTAGAAATTTTTTCGGACTTTTTCGAGAATCAAGAAAAAAATCGCCGAAAATCATGTCGTTTTTTTTCGACATGATGGAGTTTTTGAGTTAGGGAAACAATCATTTGTTCTCTGGGGGGGGGGAGGAGGCAAATTACAGATAATTTTAATTTGTAATATTCTGACCCTTGAATTGCTTCCTAAATGAGTTGAAATGGATGCTGAACTTGGATGGACAAGAGTTCATTTTTCCAATTAATTTATTGTCACTTCCTTCATTCAAAAAAACATCAAGTTACACTTTTATTTACTTTTTTCTTTCCTGTGTGTCAAAAATAATAGCCTAAAAAATCTCTTTAAAATTCGAATTATGGAGGTTTGAAGAGGGAAGCGTTCGAGTTGAGAGGGATTTTTCAAATAGGATTTCCAAGAGAATTCAGACTGGGATTTAAAAAAAAAAATACCTCCATCAACATACAGTAGTGAGGTACAGTATTAAACTTCGGGAGGTTCGACTTATACACAGGTTTAACTGTAGTTCATTAAAATCTCACAAAAAAACTGAGTATCAGGGCGAGGAAAAATAACGAAATTGATTTTTGACGCAATTTGAAGCAATTGTGTAATAACATGTCTTCCTACTTTTTTATTATTTTTTTGTGCGATTTTCGCCTGCTGGGGGGCCTGGCGCAGTTGTTGTACGCGTTGCTCAGCACAGCAGCGTTGGTGGCGGCTGCGAACGGCGCCGCTCAGCGCCAACCGCACGAAGCCTATTCGGCGGACCAGCTGCGCCAACAGGCTGAGCTCCAGCAGCGCCAGCAGCAGCACCAGGACGTGTTCTCGGCTGCGGACCGACAGCAGCGACAGCTAGGTGACCGGTCGCCGCAGGGCTTTCTGGGCAGCGGCGCGTTTCCCGGGACAGGTGTCGCTGCTGGCGCGGGCGGCATCCCGTTGAGCTCCGCCATCGATGCCGCCAGTTCTCGTCAACAGCAACAACCAGCACAGCAGAGCGATCGTCGACAGGCTCTTTACTATGATCCGTATTCCGTGAGTGCTGATCGAAACCCTTCTTTTCGGCGTCGAATACTCACACGTAATTTCTTTCGTTGATATAAGAATCTAACAAAATGATATCCGCACGAATATACAGCAGTCAAACTTCTTATCAAGTTGACGAATATTCGTCGAAAATTCAATTTTAAAAATGCATATGTATGTTCGGAACGATCCGCGTGAAATTCTGATACTAAGACTGCCGTTTTTATTTCAAAGAAAAACAGGAGATAACCAACAGCACCGCAATTGATTTTCAATACTGCAAAATATTTTAAAATTCAAAAAATGTTTCTACAACTCCGTGTTTCGAATGAAAGTCGGATTGTTTATTTCAGTGGTTTGGTCTGTGGGCATGAAAATCTCGAAAAAGGACCACATTTATTTTATGGCTCAAATCTAGAAGTAAATTGTCTGGCCTATAAGAGTGAAATAATTCCTAGAATATGTACAGTGTTCCCTATATATCTTTTAAAAGAAAGTTTTCTACTGCTTTTGTATCAATCAACCACTTCTTCAATTGAAGTTCACTCTGTCTCACATGACTTGTTTTCATGTGCATTACATAGATGTCGCCATCATTGGCTTGAATTTAAGGATTCAAATGATAATTGCAGTTGAATATTTTTGTACAGTATTTATTTCAAAGCATTATTGCTCATGAACAAAATTATGAAATTTTTTGGGAAAAGGGTAAAAAAAACTCCTTCAAAAAACTTCCAAAATAAACACGTGGAGATTTTTCGAAATTTCCAACGTCCTTTGACAAAATAGTGTTGAAAATTTTTATTTGGATTAACAAGTATCCTCTTTCAGACGTTCCATTTATTTGAATTATTTTTAAAAATATACCAATTTTTACTAAAGAATGAGCTGAATTAAAGAGGAAATAATTGTAAGAAGAGCAGTTATTCATCTAAAACTGTATATTTCCTGAAATTGGGGAACATTTTGTTTCTTTCAAATGTTGGGATGAATCTGAAATTCTGTTTCAGGATTGTATAAAAAAAATATTTTCATCCAAAAACAACTATTTATTTCTGAATTTTAAATTAAATCTTGATACACATTTTGATTTGAACTCCATCATTTCTGCAATGCTAAACTTCCTTTTAAAAAATATTAGCATTTATACCTTCAAAGGTTTTTTTCCCCTTTCAATTAGACACAAGTTGGTTTTTCCCATATTGTGCTAATTAGCCATGATTTTTGTGACCCATGCACACATAATTTATGCAAAATTCTGCTATGCTGAAATTATGAAAGAAAATTAGTTTGTCACAACAACACTTTTGTAACATTTACCTTACACATGAAGAAACTCCCAGGATACAGAAAAAAATTCGTTATACATGAAAAATTGGCTGTAAAGAAATTCTTTCTGAAGGAATTTTCCTGTATTCATGATTTTCACTAATCATATTATGTCTCAAATCTTACATCCTGCGCTTCACACGTGCTTTAAAATTTCAAAACCTGGATCAGGTTTGTAATGTGGTCTGATATGGTGAATATAATAAATTATCATGCATGATAGGAGTAACAGGCAGAAGAAGAACAATTCCGACCCATTTTGCATAATATGTGACTGGATGCATAAAAATGCAAATAATTGTCTTCAAATTGTGTGCAATAAGGTATACAGTACAGTAGTTGCATGCATTAAAATAATTGAGTTCCTCACAAGCTTTGATTATTAAGTGAGCAGTGCCATCATGTGTTATTTCCCCAATACTGCAAATGCATGGGATCACCATTGAGTATATAATTTAAGTTGAAGGAAAAAGAAATCAGAATTCTGAGAGGAGAAGCCTTTCGCACTCAGGGGAATCCCCCACCACCGCCGCCGCTGTCGGGGCCAGCAGACGGCGGATATCCGGTCTACGACTTTGGGTACTCTGTCTCCGATCCCAACGCCCAACTCCACCAGACCCGCCAAGAAACCCGCGACGGAGACAGGGTCACGGGCTCTTACTCATACGTGGACCCGAACGGGTCACTCATGCGCGTCACCTATGAGGCGGACGCGCTGAATGGCTACCGGGCTCGCGTAGAGACAGTGCAGCCGCCTCTGGCGTCGCCGGTAGTACCGAGATTCCCGTTGCGTGGCTTGAGGCGACTTAATCGACACGATGCTCGCAGAGACGACGCTCAGCTTAGTAGCGACAGGCGCAATTATCACGTAATTAACTGCGCTTAATCATTTTTTTTCATCAATTCACACATTCAATACAGGTGAAATCTTGCAAAAATAGTAAGAATAAAAAAATGAAAATTCCATAAAAAGATGCATAAAATTGTTTATCTTTTGAATTAAGGTTATTACAATTGCATAAATCCCGATTTTTTTCTGAAATCGGACAAATTTCATTTTTTGTTTGAAGTGCATGCTGTTCATTATTGAGAAAACTCAGTTAATTCATCAGAAGAACTGAAATTTCGGCACGGAAATATTTTCAGCCAGTTCTGTTATTGATGTAATCTGTCCTTTAATTTGTTGGTAACATTTTTTAGCACTTCTGTGAGCATACAGTAAATTTGTATGTTCAATTGCTATGTTCAAAGAAAGGAAGAAAAATTGTAAATTTGGATAATTGGAAGGAAAAGAATTTATGAAAACCAATATACAGTACATTAATTTCTTGCACTGAATCTTTGAAATATACTGTAAAACAATTTTAGCATTAAATCTATTGTGTTGCCCCTGGTACCCTAAGGTCTATTTTTTATAACCCAAATACATTTACATCAGGATTTCACCTGTACAGTTTTACCTAATAAGTGTAAGAAATAATGTGTCACCTGAATGATAACCCTTACTCTAAAACTGGTTTTTGGTTTAATCTGTAAACCAGGTATATTTGTAAGACAACTCAGTATTTATTTTTCAATTTCTGAGCTGGATTTGAAAGGCATAATTCAAAGGTTTTTTCAGTATTCTGCTGGTTTTGTTGTGGTCTTTGAATGATGAATGTAGTTGCTACAAAGTTTCATAAGCAAGGGCCAAAAATGTTTTCTGTCCAAGTTGAACTGATGTGCAGCCATGCATCTATAATCAAACTCCCTCACTTATTTACTGATCAATTCACTAATGAGATCTATAAGTGCTAACAAATACAGGATTGAAAATCACAGTAACTGTTCTTGGCAACAACAAAAAGTCCCAGAAATTTCATCACTCAAAAACAATGTGTGCTGATTCAACAATCTTATTTGAGTTGATGCTCAATGTGAAGGTTATTTCCTCAAAATTTATACTGTATATTCATCAAGTCATTGGATCAGAATATAAAGAAAAGCTGTAGCTGGGTTAAAGTTGGTAGAATTTTTGAAAAAGGAGCTTTTGGATTCTGACTCAAGCACATACAAGTGCCAAAATTCCTAAATTTCAAGTTTCTGACAAAACCTTTGAACCATATCTTCAAATGCCAGCATTTTTGTTCAACTAACACATATAAATGTACTTAGCATGAAAGTGTACATGCAAGAAAACAATTGGTTTGGTGACCAAAAGACAATACACAATTATCTGAAAGTACATGAGATAAGATATTGTATGACTCGATTGAACTGGACGCAAGCAGCAGCATGGACACTTGGACTGATTCTGAATGCCATCAAGAAAAGGAACTTGACCATGTGCATGAAGCATCAGGAAGGACTACTTTTCATTCTTTTTTCGAATTGAATTTGACGAAGTGTTTATCATCCTGACATTTGAATGAATCTATAGGTGACATTTGGGCTCGCAGGTGCCCAAAGCAGCGACACCCAGCGGAAAATCTCCGTATACATATACAACTTGTGACTCATGCGCATGTGCCTTCCTCCCATTTCGAGATTGCGGCTCAAAAATGCTTATAACTTTCAAACAGATTTGAAAGGGTCCTTGTCTTCTCTAAATAATCCTCCAATCTAGTCAGAAATTTCTTCAGTCCTCATGATGATGAGTTTTATAGAGTCACTCAGAATTTGCATGGAAGACAAATATCATTAATGAAGCTGAATCATAGTTCCAAACATATCTAATTACTGTATGCAGGAGGACTCTCTCTACAATGAAGATCTTGTTTGCAGAAATTTTCTGTGCAGAAATTTTTTTATTTGGTTCCCTGCAGGGAACATATAGAGGGTTCTCTACAAAAAAAATTACTCTCTAAAATAAGGGTTTTCTTGGTCCCATGAGTTTTGTTTTTGAGAGAGTCCACCTCCACCTATTAAAAAAAAATTCATAGGGACAAATATATAATCAGAACTAGCTACATCAGCATCTTGTGCATGTTCACACTGTTCTGTAGGCTTGCATTAAATTATGAGTTTTTTGATCAACTAATGAAAACCACACTTGAAAAGCTTCCAATCCATACATTTTTTCGCATAAAAATAGTATAACTGCAACACAAAATGAAATGTTAATTTCACAATGCTGTAACCAAATTCAGCAGTTGCACAGCAGTGGAAACAAAAAAGAAAAATCTGTTTGAAACTTAATTTGTCTACAGCTTCTAAAAGCT